CCCTGTTTGTAAATATTTATGTATAAAAGGTTTATCACATACAGTAACGACTTATCGAATACAGTTATCAATGACTTTGACGCACTAAAAGCCAATTTATGTTGCATATTTAAAAAAAACATCCGCCTGACATTGGTGGCATGTTTTCCTCCAGATTTAATGGCTTCCACTTCCGGATTTTTGATCAGGTAACGGCGGGCATGTAGTCCATCACTGCTCTGCTTTGGATCGAACTCTAAATAATTTTATTCCAAACGTGACGATGAAGGTTCTTATAATCAAGAAATTCAATAGATGGAGATAAAAGTCTTCAGATATGGTTTTAAATGTCTCTTATTCTCAAGATATATGAATACTAATACAGCCATTACAAACATAGTATGATTTTTGTCATTTCATTGTATAATTCAAATATTATTAGAGTGATGTAGCACTTTTTGGTCTAAATAAAATGCTTCATCTTATCATTCAAAAAGTGAATTTTAACAATTCCAGCTCAATGGACACGCCCATAGCCATAATTGATTTAATATTTTCTCAAAAGAAAATGTTGCCATTGAAAAAAAAAATGAATTGAATACTTGCACATTCAACACAAGCATATTGGATACTTACTTTTAAATAACGCAACATTTCACTGTCAATTTCTCGGTTAAGAACAATGACAATGTGTTTGTTCGAAGAAAAATAGTTTCGAACAATGGATTTTTATCAATTGCACGTTACAATTTAAGTGATAAAAACTATAAAAAATATGATACATGATAACTAATCCTGATAATTAATCCTGATAATAAATAAATAGGTTAATCCAGATATCAATCTAATTAAAATTAGATGTTCCAAATCCGCTACCGCTTCTCAAACATCTAACAACATCCCATTCGGGGTCACGTCAGAGCGACCTTTCGATTACCCAATGAAATCGCCGTATCTGAAATCTTGGCTTATAGTTCTGATGCGTTTCTTTTTTTACTGCCAAACCTAAACGCCCGAGGGGTTTCGTAGTAAACAAAATAAGCATGGTAAAGACCGTGCTAAATATGAATGTGACGTGCGGGATATATAGACGTATACATGTAGTTTGTGCATTCTCGTTTGCATTATTTAGGTAGGAATACCAGATTGGCGGACTATACGTTCAATTTATACCAAAATTACTTTAATTCAACGTAAGACAGTCTACTGAGCATCAATAATGTTAAGATGTAGCCGTGGAACTAATTTTAGAATCGTATACAGAAGGTTGAATCTGATTGGCCAAAATTTTTATGATTATTCATAATCAAAAGGTCGTTCTGACGTGACCCCTAATGGGATGTTGTTAGATGTTTGAGAAGCGGTAGCGGATTCGGAACATCTAATTTTAATTAGATTGTCCAGATATGTGAAAATCTTTAGCAAAGTTTATCATCTTGATAGAATAAACTATTTTATTATAATTAACGTCAGGGAAAAAAAAAGATAAATTTTGTGTTTCCACCCTCGTTTATTCCGAGTTAAATTGAGGTGAATTCTCGTGTACTGGCTTGTAATAATATTTCATATTTTTCCAGACGTTCATTAAAAGATACATTGTAGAGCGCTCGCCCCGTGATCGGGAGGTCGTGGGTTCGAGCCCCGGCCGCGACTGACCTAAGTCGATAAAAAAATAGGTAGCAACTGTTCCTTCGCCATGCGCTCGGCACTTTGAAGTGAAAGTTGCGGGTCCTTCGGATGAGACCTTAAAAACCGAGGCTCCGTGTCACGACAGGCGTTGGCACGATAAAGATCCCCCACTGCTCAATGGCCCTGAGTGCCGAGTAAATGTCTAGATTTGAAGCCCTTCACCGGTATATGGTGATGTCTCTATATGAGTGAAAAAATTTCGAATGGGACGTAAAACAACATACAATCAATCAATCAATGTACATATTAGTAGTTTCAGAGCAACATGGCGGAGTTATTTACGTCAAAGTACCACGGGTTTCGGCCAATATTGTCTGTAGTAAGTTTGACTCCTGGACCAATTTCATTTCAACTTCACCATTGATTATTTGTACAGCCGTTTTATTTAGTGGTAGATTCCTTACATTTTGTGATAACAAATCTATGATTTCAATCCATTCGCGGAACGTTGATTGACGACTAGAAAAATGCAATAAATGAGACACAGATTTTTTTTCTTTTTCAATAAAATATTCTCATGGGAAGTCCTAGGCATGTATGCATGTAAGTAATCTAAAATACGTGCAATTGCTGCAAGATTGCGCAAGTGACATTAGAAAACATGTATGCGTTTATGTAATCTTTGATTGTTACATATTTTCTAATATCCTTTTCTTTCGGCTTTGGTTTTGTCGAGTTTTTTTTTTTGTTCGTTTGTTTTTTTATATTTCTGTTTTGGTTACAATTATTTGTTATTACTTTAGATATAGTTGTAATTAACAACTTTTTCAGATAAATGTAGTTGTTATAGGTATATTTGCTTAAAAATGTAAATCCGCTATCGAGTTTTGGTGGTTGGTTGGACTTGGATGAATAGTTAACCATTTAACAACAATGGTCTAGTCGATTAATATCTGAAGATATCTATACTGATCCGCATAATTACATTTTATAATTAACAACCGACAAATACCAAAAAGGAAGTAAACGTTTAGCATCCTATAAGTAGAATCGCATGGAGCAATTTTTCGATATCATTATATATTCATTGCATTACGAGATCTATCGGCAAAATATTAAATATTCATCAAAGATAAGGAAGATAAAAGGGTAGCATCAGTTTTGAAGGCTTGTTTTTCAATGCTGAGAAAAAAAACATTAGTCTTGTGGCCGGTTAAGAAAAACAGCACTTGGTTTTGTATTTTTGAAAGCGATTGAGCGGATTGATATTGATAGCGGATTGATATTGATATCACAATGCTGACACGAGTAACCTTTCTCCCCTTCTTCACTGTGACCCCATTAGCCATAGCTTTGGCAAGCGGGGGATGCCTGCATAAAATACATGTATATGCAGACTTGCTGTTCTGTAAAACAGAATTTGAAAAGTTTTTCTCTATACTTTCAATCTTAAGGACGTACAACACACCCACCACCAAAAATTTCCTGTCGTTTAATTTTCGCTATTTTTTTAAAAAATATATTATACATGACTATATATACAATGCGTATGCACATTTTGGACAAAATCGTTCGAGTCGTATTTGGACAGGAAGTTCAAGGGTAATTATTTGAAAGAATCTGAAGCAACACAACATAAATATGCTCACAATTAATTCAAAGAAATTGTGGCGCAAATGTTCCTGAGGAAAAAAAAATAAAGATGCTTACCTAAATGTTAAAATTAAAACTTTTCCAGTATAATTATTTTTACGTAAAACTGGTACCAGCTACTATGACCTCACATCAGTTTTGGATTTCGAATTTACATCGTATATATATGTATATGCTAGGGGAACTTTTCTACGCGTTTTATCCTTTTTTTTCTCTTCAGAATTCCTTAAGAATTAGAAAAAAGAAAACAAACCCACCCTATTTTTACCATTCATTTTTTTTTATATCTCGGTTAAAAGGGAGCATGACCCTTCAATTGAAAAATTAGAATTTCCTCAATATAAAAAGTGCAGTGAGGCAACTTTGGTTAAAATTGTTTCACTGTTTCTGGAGAAGAAGCTAAAACGTGAAAAGTTAGCAGACAGACAACATAAGAATAAACCTCGATAAGAAAATCTCATTTGAGTCTAATGACTCTGGTGAGCTAAAACAATGATTTGATGCAGTCTACCAACAAGATATAAGTTTTTAGCAAACTACGGATATAAGAACATACATGTATATACATGTTGTAGATGTAACACGAGGTGTCACAATAACGGTCACTAATTACTTTTCATATTTATACATTAATACATGTGCATATACATTAATAAAATTCTTTAGCTATATTTTTCCAGATCAACAGAGGATCTATTTATGTCTTCTCAGATAATATACCGGTACTCACTCAGATAATATACCGGTACTCACTCAGATAATATACCGGTACTCACTCAGCTTTTTATGAAAAGACACACATATCTCTAGTGAAGTATATAACTATAAAGCTAAATGTATATTGTAAATCTCTTACTTCGCACTTAAATTTATTACGACTGTATACAATTATTTAAATTGATGCCAACAAATTTTGTCTTGAGAGATGTTAAGTGTATAGTTTAGGAGTTCTCTCTCCTACAGATTGATAATGCTATCATCTGTAATAAAACTCTCTCTAAGGCGGATGTTGGCATATCAGAAAGAATGTTTTGTTTTGCTATATAGGGCTGACTAAAATAAATTTGAAAGACAGTAAAGTGCAGTTCTGATCGGATTATGTCACATAGAAAGATGTAATCGTGCTTCATTGTGTAAAAACATCTATTAATGTCTTTTTATTGTCGAAGGGGAAATGAGAAAAGCGCAGTGCTAATACAGTGGAAGAAAAGTTCCCATTTTTAAATCATACAATCCTGTATACAGAGTGAAATATTAACACTTCCTGGATAAAAAACAAAAATCTAAAATTTGCCAACTTGGTGCCCATTACGGAGTTTTAGACATTGAACAGATGAGAATTCGCTCTAGGACATAATTTTCAACACCATTAAATGACTGGCATTTTTTAAGATATATGTTTTAGTTTTTCTCATTAAATGATGTTACACCCTGACTTTATCATGGAGATTCTAAATATCGTCATCATATCGAGGGCAAGTCTTTTCTTAATTTTCGGGAACATCTTATTTTGCAATTATATTTATTTTTTAAAGAGTCTTAATTATTTGCTATTTATTGCAAGAAACCACTTTAAATTTGATGGATCAGTTTGCATTCTGTCATATTGAGTGGTTGACCTAATCACCTCTTTTGTTGAGCATTGCAGGAACAATTATAACTTTATCTGTTGGCAAGCTACAGTAGGTACTATCATAAGAGCTGTTATCTATAATACACAGCATTTATCTGGATCTTACCTAGAACGATCGTCAGGAAGTCCGTAATCGCCAGGTTCAGCAGATATTGGTTTGTCACTGTATGCATGTACACCTGTTTCCGGAGGACTAAACAAGTAGTTAAATTACCAATACTTCCGGTCAAGAAAATTACGATGTAAACAATTGACAGAAGTACCACAGAAAATAAATCCTTTTGTTTCTCTCCTAATCTTGATAAAACAAAGGACTGGAGACTTGTGTAGTTCTGATCCATGTTCTCAGACATGTTTACATAAGTAGCCGTCGTCATATTGCGATTTTTCATACGGGTTTGCTAAAGTTCTGAAGCTCTTATTCATAAGAAATCGGACACATAAGGGTCAACAAGATAAATACGAATGTCCTCTCACTAACTTTATGAGATATTTGTAAGTTAACACTATCGAGTATACCCATCTTACTTCGTTAATTACTCTTCATGGCTTCCTCGTTGCACCAATCATCAATGGTGCTGATCTTTGAGCGATTTGACCGGTCCTATGGGCGCTATCATATGCTCAGATCACAGACAAATAGAAATATGATGTTTTCCTCCCGACAGACCACTTAACATTTAGATAATATTCATATCCTATATATCTGTGGCACGTGTTTACAAACAGAATTCCCCGCCTGTTTGAACACTGTTCAGTTTCAAAGGATGCTTTGTGAGAATTCAGTTTCAAAGGATGCTGTGCTTACAGCATTTGTTAAAAACTGTTACTCATTAGTTTGTATTCAAAAAACAACATTCTCGTTCAATGAGCTATGGTGTTAGGCATTTGATTTTATTTATGATGCTTTCATATATTGTTCAATAGTTAACCATATTCTCTTGTACTAGCATAACATCAAAAATACAGCATACGTCGTACGGCCTTGGTTTGATTCTTGCTTTCAGAAATAATTTGGATGAAAATTCTACTAAAAATGAGCCATGTACGAGGGGTTATCAAAAAGTTCGTGGACTGACGCGATAAAATTAATAATATGTAGTCTCTGCTTACAAAATTTATGCGGAACATAAAACAACAAAAGTTTAAGAAATGTTGAAAATTTTAGCTTGATACGTTGAAAATTTGCCAAATTATTCTGAAATTAAAAAGACTTTATGTGATCACCCGGCGCTGTCGCCGTTTAGTGTCATGACGTCCGCTTAACGTCATTGTTTCTTAATGTCCGCTCTCTCTACCTCATACACTTATCTTGATGAGATTACCTGGAGTTAAGTAAGGACTTAAACCCGTCTTATTTATATGAATTTAAAATGTCATGAGCAGCTTTTTTCAATGCATATAATATTGTAAATGGATCTTTATATGGGGAAAGATCCTCACTTGATTATGCCAGAATACTTAGCTTGTTGGAGTTCAATTTCTACCACACATGATCAACGTCACTTTTCGACGTGACTGACTTTTGACACCCTGACTACAAATCGACACTAACTGTGCATATTTCATCTCTCTGAATCTTTTTGGGCATTAAAAAACAAGTACTCTGGATGCATTTTATTTTTCTGTAGCCAGTTTAACATTCCTTAGGTCAATACCAGTTTTTCCAGGAGCGAAACTCTATAGAGTGTTTGAAAAAGAAACCCCTCCCCCCTTTTGACGTTATTTTCAAGCCCATAATTGTTTGGACACTCCATATAAAATTTACGATAAAATTTCATAGAAATTACAGAATGGGGTAAAAATTGCAAATTTTACTGAACAAATGTGTCGTACCACATGCCTGAATTAACGAGATTTTTTGATGACAAATACTCATATCTAAAGAGTTTTTCTCAGTTACAATCAGGTAGAAAAAAACGTCATATTAGAGGTTGCGCCGCCTGGACATACCTTTGCTTACAAAAACACTAACAATTTATTAAAAAATAAAAATTATGATTTATGGTTTATTCTATAGATAGAGAAGATGATGCTAACTTAATGTGTAAAAATTCATTGATGTACCTAAAGCGGTTTTAATTTTATGACGCTAGTCCACGAACTTTTTGATAACCCCTCGTATAGTGAAGATGCAAGTAAATCTTCGTATCTGAGGCTTCGATCAATGATCAGTTGATAGGTAAATAAAAGCTGGCTTAATCAAAGTAATTAGATTTCTTTAGTATTTATCCCTTAGGCTTTGTACTTGATGTGCCGTATGAGAGTCGGTTGTACTTTTCGTGTCACTACCCATGTTGATTATCTAAGCTTTATCAGCAAAAGAAAAACACTGATTAATTGATACAAATGTCGTTTTATACCAAAGTGTACTTTAATTTCACACGAGAGAGTTTCCATTAATATTTCCAAATGAGTCAGGAAAATTCTATCAGCCCATCAAGTGTGTGATTTGTTTCGAATTGAAATCAAATAAATTACAATTTTCTAACTATTCGTATTGTAGAATGCACTAATTGTATATAACTATCAAGTTAGGATTGCAGCGATTCATGACTGTCTGCTGATTGCTGTCGAGGGTTTCAAATAAATTGAGGAAAAGGGAGAGAGGGGAGAGTTTGACCATTTTCTTTTAACACTGAACTTTAATGATTCTGTTAAAGTTTTCAATCTTGTGATTTAGGGTGTCGTAATTTTGTTGCATCAAATCAATTCAATTCAAGCCTCTGGAAAGCTGTTGTAAATGTCAAGGCTGCAAGCAAAGATGTAAATATAAAGATTGAGAAAAAAATCAATTGCTGTTCACGGCTTGTTTATGTATAAATCGTATAAATGGTACTTCTTTAATTTTCTGTGGTAAAACGATCAGTGAAACATTAATCTCGAAGACAATTCACAGTTCTATCTAGTTTGTCTTGTTTCATTTGTTCGTTTCTTGTTTGGGTGGGTGTGAGTGTGTGCGCGCACGCGCGTGGAGGGGGTTGTAACTCTGAGGAACAATTAGGAACATTTATAATATTTGGCTACTATCAAAACGGTTTATACAAATAAACAAACAAACAAAAAATTCCCTTTAGAGAAAACTTATACAATTGTTACAACGCGAAATGTAATAACGCAAATTGTAATTAACTGGGATTATTAAATTGTGCGTTTTTACATTTTGCGTCGAGATCACCGGGGAATGTAATAACGCAAAATGTAATAACACGAGTTTTGGATTATTAAATTTTGCGTTTGGATAAACGCAAAATGTAATAATGCACTTTTAGTTACATTTTGCGTTACTTAATTTTTGCGTTGAGGACAACGCAAAATGTAATAAACAAAATGTAATTATTTATTTTGGACTGTGTTCAACGCGAAACATCACAAAATTGATTTAAACATATAACAATTGGGAAACTTGCTTTACTAAATAGATAGACAGACCTATGACTATGAGACGAACGTTACGACTTTTACGGACATTACTAAATCTAATTGTATTTTTTAAAAATCTTTTTCTGACATTTTTATTGAATACTTATAAAACATTAACTTAACTTTGATTGACATGTCTATTTATAAATTAGTCTGTATTATATATCCATCATTGACATTCTCAATACGTTGTATTTCCATTAGTGAACTCTTCAAAATTAGAGGCGCGTTTGGTCGTCTGACTGGGACAGCATGGCGTTGCGGATAATACAAAATATGCCAATCTCAATCCAATTTTAAATGTTAAATGTATTTGTCATTCCAATTAAAGAATAGAAGAACCAAAAGACATACGTAAAAGAGCGAGAACCCCAAATTTCTCATCCATTAATAAAAAAATACGACATTTCAGAGGCCTGTGCACTGTGTTTAGATGTACGTACCATACGATAAATAGATACATACGATCTACAATAGATATAAATTGATATCGTTGTCATTCCTACTCTTTTATGTTTATAAAGTCCACAACAATAAAATATTTCATTTGCATTTTCTTAGGAATTGTTCATCGACATTCAACATATTGTTTACATGTTTATGTTACGTTTGTCCCAGAAATCCCGCGAGATTTGTACATTTTCCGACTTTTTCACAAAAGAGCGCACTAAGAAGTATAACTCTTCCATAGTGGAAATAGAACGTATTACCAAAGATTGACCATGAGTCCATTAAAAGCTCTTGATATTCTCAACCTGACTGACCAAAAAGTATGTTTTTAAATTTTGCGTTGTTGCATTTTGCTTAATCTCAACGCAAAATGTAAAAATCCAAAAATCATGTTATTACATTTTGCGTTATTACATTTGCGTTGATCTCGACGCAAAATGCAATAACGCAAAATGTAATAATCCTAAAAAGTCTGTTTTTACATTTTGCGTTATTACATTCTGCGTTGAAGATGTAATAACGCAAAAAGCAATAAACCCGGTATATTACATATGCGTTGTTATTACATTTCGCGTTGTAACAATGCACACTTTAGGATCTTAAGAGTTTATCACTTTAAAAGCATCAGTGTAAATATTCATTAATATATAAGAATTTCAAGGTTCAACAATATTGAATATATAACGACAATAGGCAAAAAAGGAAATACATGTATATAAACTGATACACTGTATGTAAAAAAAGATACAAGTCATGTAATTCCTTCCTTTTCTTCTTTTTTTTTTTAAAGCGACTGATAGAAATAATTATGCTCCCGTATCGAAGATTCGGGGGTACATAGTTTTTGCCCTGTCTGTCTGTTTGTCCGCGAAAACTTTAACCTTGCCCATAACTTTTGATTGGTTAGAGCTATTGCTTTCATATTTCACATATGTAATCCTTGTGACAAGACCTTTCTTTGGATACCAACAACTTTAACCCTTTGACCTTGACCTACTTTTGGAAAACTTTAACCTTGGCTATAACTTTTCAACGGTTGGAGCTAGGGCTTTCATACTTCACAAGTGTAATCCTTGTGACAAGGCATTCTTTTGGATACCAACAACTTTTGACCTTGGCGTTTGACTTCTTTTTGGAAAACTTTAACCTAAGACATAACTTTTGAACAGTTGGAGCTAAGGCTTTCATATTTTACATATCTATTCCTTGTGACAAGACCTTCCTTTGGATACCAACAATTCTAGTCCATTGACCTTGACCATAGAGTTTGACCTCCTTTTGAAAAACTTTAACCTTGGTCATAACTTTTGAAAGATTAGTGCTTCGGCTTTCATATTTCGCCTGTGTATTTCTTTGGAGAAGGCCTTTCCCTGGGCACCATTAATTTTGCTCGTTTGGCCTTGATATTTGACATACTTTAAAAAAAACTTTAACCTTTACCATATATATTCAATGGTTGCTAGTTGGGTTTCATAATTAACAGGTAAATTCCTCGAGACAAGACCTTACTTTGGGTACAAAAATATTTGATTTGCATTTGAGAAAGTTTAACCTTTGCTATAAGTTGCCATACGGGGACATCAGTGTTTCACAAACACATCTTGTTTTCTATTTACATTTGTATTTCTTTATATGACAATAGTCGCCCGCGTGGCGCAGTGGTTAGAGCGTCTGCTCTAGAGTCGCGAAGTAAGGAGTTGATCCTTACGTCGCGGGTTCGAATCCCACTGTGGGACGTGGAGACCGGTCCTTCGGATGAGACCGTATAAACCGAGGTCCCGTGTCGCAGTAGGTGCTGGCACGAAAAAGATCCCTCACTGCTCAATGGCCGTAA